CTTGCTAATACGCTTGAGTTCTCTGTGGATTCTGGTTATTAAACCTTTGTCAGAGACATAACCTGCAAATATCTTCTCCTATTCTGAGGGCTGTCTGCTTGCTTTACTTACTGTGTTCTTGGCTGTGCAGAAGCTTTTTAGTTTGATCAGGTCCCAGTAGTGTATTTTTGACGTTGCTTCAATTGCCCGGGGTGGGGGTGGTGGGGGGTCCTCCTCATAACATATTTGCCCAGGCCAATTTCTTCAAGAGTTTTCCATGAACTTTGTTTTAGTATTTTTATAGTTTCATGTCTTAAGTTTAAATCTTTACCCAGTGAGAGTCTATCTTAGTTACCAGTGAGAGGTTTAAGATACCATATAACTCCACTAAGATTAGCCTACATCACAAGATCCTCAAACCAGAGATGTTGGCGTGGATGTGAAGAAAAGGGAACACTTCTACATTGCTGGTGGGAATGCAAACTAATAAGTTCCTTTTGGAAAGATGTTTGGAGAACACTTAGAGATCTAAAAATAGACCTGCCATTTGATCCTACAATTTCTCTACTAGGTATATACCCAGAAGACCAGAAATCACGTTATAACAAAGATTTATGTACCAGAATGTTTATTGCAGCCCAATTCATAATTGCTAAGTCGTGGAAGAGGCCCAAGTGTCCATCGACCCACGAATGGATCAATAAATTGTGGTATATGTACACCATGGATATTATGCAGCCTTAAAGAAAGATGGAGACTTTACCTCTTACATGTTTACATGGATAGAGCTGGAACATATTCTTCTTAGCAAAGTATCTAAAGAATGGAAGAAAAAGTATCCAATGTACTCAGTCTTACTAAGAAACCAATTTATAGCTTTCATATGAAAACTATAACCCAATTATAGCCCAAGAAGAAGGGGAAAGGGGAGAGGGAGGGAAGGGTAGTGGGGAGGATGGGTGGAGGTAGAATAATTGGTGGGACCAAACCTACGGTGCATCTTACAAGGGTACATGTGAAATTTACTAGGTGTAGAATATAAATGTCTAAACATAGTAACTAAGAAAATGCCATGAAGGCTATGTTAACCAGTTTGAAGAAAACCTTTCAAATTATATATAAAACCAGCAAAATTTAAAAAAAAAAAAGCATAGAATTTTCAATAGCACTTTCACACAAGGGCAAAATGTAATAGCCGGCACTTTTCAACATACAGAAAATTGTGGGTCTGCAGGAAAATAACAACTAATATAAAGAAAGCTATATTTCACCCGTAGTAGGTTTATGTTTTTGCTTTGGTACCACAATTTAAGAGTTGTTTTAAAAGAAGTTACAGGTATATTGCTTACTAATTTTGACTTTTTTATTGCTCTCTTTCTATCTTTGGAAGTCTCTTTCTCCAAAGATTCATTTAATCCCAAGTTTTTGATGATACACTTAATTTTATACATTGAAGAATTTTAACTGTGTGAACTTTTTCAGATGCTGGTGAATCTAATAAAAGAGAGAATACATCCACAATGGGTGGTTTTGGAGGTGGAAAAGGTTTTGGAAACAGAGGTAATTACTTGCTTATGACAACCTACAATCAAAACTTGAGTTATTTTTTAATTTAGTTTACTGATTGGGAGGCATTTCATACTGAGATCTAATTTTAAGGTATATATATTCCCTGAGTACCAAAGATCATTTTTTATTAAAACAGAACATTTTTTAATTTTATGAAAGATTACTGATACATGCTTTTGAAACTAATTTTAGAGATGAGTCTTTATGCTCCAGAGAAGTATAACTCTGAGACATAGGTTTTTGGGAAATGAGAAATTTGAAAGCAGAATTTGATTTAAAAAAATGATAAACAAAAATTAATAGGATTTCTGTGTTACTGAGAGAGGGAAAATTATTGCATATTGGATTATAATTTACTGAAACTTTAGAAAATGAAGAGATTTGAGTTAAGTTATAAGATTTTAAGAATGTTGATATTTTGAAATGGAAAGTATGTAGTGCTTATACTAACATATGCTTCTGTTTTATCCATGCATATAGAATATATGACATTTGAGGTAATACAGAATTGGCTGAAAGGAAAATGTTAAGAGCTGGGCAGCACCTGTGGCTCAAAGGAGTAGAGCGCTAGCCCCATATACCAGAGGTGGTGGTTCAAACCCGGCCCCAGCCAAAAAACTGCAAAAAAAAAATGTTCAGAGCATGGAGTTGTCAAATTGATGAAACAGAATTTGTGGTATAGCCTGAATTAGTTCTCACTCAATATTTATATACTTAATATTTATACAGTAGTATATGGTTTATCTTATTTTAAAGGACATCATAACTAATAGTTCCTGTAAGGTACTTTTTTTTTTTTTTAATACAGGAAACTGTTTTCAACAATTTTAAAGTATGTTTTATATTTTGTATAGGTTTTTCAAATAAATTTGAAGAAGGTGACAGCTCTGGTTTCTGGAGAGGTAAGTTCAGTGTTTTTATGTTGACTTTTAAAAAATTAATGTCAATGATACATGCTAAAGAGAAACTAAGATTAAGTCTCTTATTTCAATCATAATTATTTTGACTCAGTTTTATGAAGCATCTATATCCTTAATGATATAGATGCCTTAATGAAGGATGTTATTGATTGTAGATAAAGACTTCAAGCATCCTAATTTGGCCTGTTGCCACCTGCTTTAATCTATGAGACACTGCTTTTGAAAGCTCTGATACCTTAAGAAAATGGGGATAGATTGTAGAAGAGCAAGTCAAGAATTGAAATTCTACTCCATATGTAAATACAGTTTGGGATTTGTGGGATCCAATTTAGACTCAAGTCTAAGAAAAAGATTCTTGGCTTGGTGCCTGTGGCTCAAGTGGCTAAGGTGCCAGCCACGTACACCTAAGGTGGCAGGGTTGAGTCCAGCCCAGGCCCACCGAACAATGACGGCTGCAACCAAAAAATAGCTGGTGTTGTGGCGGGCGCCTGTGGTCCCAGCTACTTGGGAGACTGAGGCAGGAGACTCGCTTGAGCCCAGGAGTTGGAGGTTGCTGTGAGCTGTGATTCCATGGCACTCTACCCAGGGGGGATAGCTTGAGGCTCTGTCTCAAAAAAAAAAAAAGAAAAAGAAAAAGATTCTTGAAAATATAAATCATAGCAGAAATTAAATACATTTCTGTCAAAGGTACTGACACACTGTGGGAATATAGAGAAGAATGAGATGCATGTTGCCAGATGATAGGCTACAGTTATAAACAGTGATTGAGTAGTTTTGGATGAGACCTTGGAACTGTATTTAAAAAGCATCCCTGCTAGTTCTGATGCCTCCTTTGGTAATCATTGATCTATAAAATTTTTTATAACACTAGGCTTTGGAGTTCCAGACTTTGTTTCATGACTCTTCCCTACCTGCTAATTGAATAAAGCAGAACAAGTTGCTTAATCTTTCTAAGCCACAGTTTCCTCTTCTGTAGAATGGAGGTCATCCATTTCATGGATTTTTAGGCAGATTAAATGTTAAATGAGGATTTTTTTTTTTTTTTGAGACAGAGTCTCATCATGTCGCCCTCAGTAGAGTGCATGGTGTCACAGCTCATAGCAACCTCAAACCCTTGAGGCTTAAGGGAGTCTCTCAGCCTTCCAAGTAGCCAGGACTATAGGTGCCCACCATAATGTCCAGTTATTTTTTAGTTGTAGTTATCATTTGTATTTGGCAGGCCCAGGCTGGGTTCGAACCTGCCACCCTTGGTGTATGTGGCTGGTGCCATAACCACTGTGCTATAGGTACCGAGCCTGAATGAGGATTTTTAAATAACAAAAGCTCTGTACCAGACACACTTATGGTAAACACTCGGTAAATGCCACCTGTCTTTCATCATTAAATGTTTAAGGCTTGATGTTCTTATACTTTTTGATTCCCTAAGTTAAAACCAAGGCTCGACCTGATTACTAAAACTCTTTTGGAATAAGGTGGGATTTCAATTAACCAAGTAAGACTGTTTCCACTTCTCAGCCTTTTGGCTAAGATCAAGTGTAGTATCCAAATAAGACCGTTTTCCCAAACTACTGCTCATCTCTTTCTTATTGTTTGTTTTTTCTCCCATTCCATTGAAATGAAAATATAACACAGCTACTATTATGAGAGAAGAAAAAGATTTTTATCCTTTTCTATTTCTTTTTGACTGTTACTATTCTAATCTCTCAAATTTTAATCCATTTAATATTCATCATCATTTCCACTTACCCAAAGACTTTCCAACCCAGTTGAGGCCTTTCTAGAGATGGTAGGTCACAGAACTTTTAGGACAAATTCCAGTTTTTTACAGCACTGGCAAGAGCTTCTTTTCTCCAAAGTGGTCTTCCTTCTTTGCTTTGACCTACTTCAGTTTTCATTATTAGTTTCCCTAGAATGAAAAATTATGTGTGTGGACTGCATTCTTTCATTCTCCTAATACTATGTAGTTGACACATGCAGGAGCAGTTTTTGAGCTCACAGACGCAGCTTTCTACTCTGCATACAAATGGATGGTGTGTTCCATGGTGGTTTTTCCTGTAATCTAGTTTCCCTAATGGGGTATAGTGTAGCAATAAGGAGCTTAGGTTTTGGAGTTAGAAACTAGTTTTGAGACTCAGATCTTCTTCTGGCAGTTGTAATATTTTCAACAAGGTATTGGAGTAGACCTTTCTGGTTTTTGTTTTTCCTCATTATAAAATGAGGATTGCACCTACTTGACAAGGTTTTTGTTAGGATTTAAAAAGTCAATACATATGCTTTATTTAGAACAGTGCCAGCCACATGTGAATTCTGTATGTGTTATTTTTATATAATCAAAGGTTGTAACTGTCCTTGGGACCATTACCTCATTTTTGTTTGTGCTTAGATTTATTTTCAAACTCTATAGAGATCATTTCTCATTTTTTAAAATAACAGTTTATTTTGAATAAATAAATATATTCATAAGAAGTTGCAAAAAATAGTACGGAGTCTCCATGTACCCTTCACCCAATTTCTCATAATGTTGTTATTCTGTTTTAATTCCCTGTGTGATCAGAATAATCATAGGTTTGTTTTAAGGGGATAATTGGTGAAAGATAAGGTGAGACTCTGTTCTCCTTGCTAAGTCCCAAATTAATTAATAGGAGGCTTTTTTCTCTTAGGCAATAAATGCTAGCTATCATCATCATTGTTCTAGGGCCAACCTTCTTTCTATTCTTTATTTCTAGCCGGCTCCATTGTATTAAATCCTGCTTTCAAGAAAGTTGTCTTGTTAAATGGCTCTTCAGGATTATTTGTCAGTTGTTGACCTGGTTCAAATAGAAGCTCTTATTACACAAGAGCTCTGGATCATTGTTTATTATAAAAAATATTAATTAAGTAGATTAGTAGTTTTTATACAGGAACTTAACCAATAGCCTGCAAGCTGTTTATTCACTTGCTGCCATTACTCTGACTTAGTTATTAATGACATGTCAAAGATCCCTGGAAACCCATCTCTGTTTTTCCCAAATGTAATTTCGTTAGAATCTTCTTGAAAGCTTGAAGTTATATTAATAACAGAACTTTTACATTTTGAAAAATTATTTTTTCCTTGCTATCACCCTATACTTTTAGAATACATATTTATGAGAATTTATTTTTTTTTATTTATTTTTTTTTTTTTTGAGACAGAGCCTCAAGCTGTCCCCCTGGGCAGAGTGCCGTGGCATTACAGCTCACAGCAACCTCCAACTCCTGGGCTCAAGCGAGTCTCCTGCCTCCGCCTCCCAAGTAGCTGGGACCACAGGCGCCCGCCACAACGCCCGGCTATTTTTTGGTTGCAGCTGCCATTGTTGTTTGGCGGGTCCGGGCTGGGGATTCAAACCGGCCACCTTAGGTGTACGTGGCTGGCGCCTTAGCCGGTTGAGCTATAGGCGCCGAGCCTGAGAATTTATTTTTAATAAACTATATAGTGATCTATCATAACACTATTTAAAAACCTTGGTAATATTACTTGTTAGTTAAAAACAGAAAATCAGGATATCCCTGAATTATTTCATTAGGTTCAAAGGGGGCAAAGTTTGCATATGTTTAAGAAAGCACCAGTGTTTTGCGTTTATTAAGAGTGGTTAATTACAGAAAAATATATGTCATTATAATGGTCATGTGTTTCTCAGTGTGTGGAACATGTGTGAGAACCACTTGATTATGTGGTAGTTTAGATATTCTTAAAACCATTTTTCGTCCTATTGACACTTAAGAAATTCTTGTTTTTTGGCTTGTTTTTCCTGGTGCAGCACTTGGCAAACAGTAGGTTCTCAGCTATATACTTAACGTTGACTGTAATATTTAGATACATTAGGTGATTTGTGTAGGGAATTGACTCTGATTAATACCTTTATTTCTGTTGTTGAAATTATTTGAAAAAATTAAATGTTTATATTTTAATAATGAAAATATTTAGTTACTAATTTATCTTGGTACAGTGTTGTTCTTTAAATAGTACATCTTTAAAGTTAAAATTATTTAGATGCAATTCACATGTTAAATTTTTATTCAAGAGTCTAATAATGACCGTGAAGATAATCAAACACGGAGCAGAGGGTTTTCCAAGAGAGGCGGTAAGGACCACATTTTGGAGCAATTTGTACTTAAGGCAGAGATTAGTAAGTGACAAAACTGAATTTGGAAGAGTTTGAAAGAAAGAAAAATTCTGGTGGTAAAAGCCTGTGAATATTTTGGCATTAGTTTTCTGCTTTTCATACTAGTAAGGTCCTCCTCCTTTCATTTTCTTGTGTCATGGATCTATTTTTCCCCTAAGATCTCCATAATGTGCCATAAATACAGATAGGAGACAACTTTGTACTTTAAATCTTCCCCTTGTCAGAGATTACTTATTTTGACATTGGTATTTTTATTTTCCATATTTGGCAAAAGTTTAATGTTATACCTTCCTTTTATGACCCTCAGTGAATATATTGGTAGAGATTTATATATTGAAAGTATGGATCTAGTTCCCTCACTTTAACTCTGTATTATACCTTATTCTTACTTCTTCACCTATGTATCCTAACAAAGATAGTTTTTAAGATTGAGTAGGATACAGGGCATTTCTGTTCCTCCTTTAAAATAAGAAAATCATACAGACTTTGATACTACATGGCATCTGTGTTATTTTCATCTTCAGTTATTAGTCTCCTCCTATAACTCAGAACTGACATCAACTCTGGGGGGAAAAAAGAGCATGTTTCTTTAAATGTTTGAGTAGTTGCTGTTATGGATCATTAGCTATAGATTCTAGAGGTACTGAGGCATTATAGTAATTGGTTTATACAGAGAAAGTAAATTTGAAAACGACCCAATTCAAATATACAGAAAAGAGTACTGATTAAAATGACAAAACGTAATGGATAAATAGATGAATAAATTAATCCAAAGATCTGAAGAAATCCCATAAGTTTGGAAATGGAAATCATGAAGGCAATTAATAGACATGGAAGATAGACTAAGACCTGGTAGTCGAACATATATCTAAGTATCTCCTGAGTAGAGACCAGAGAAAATGGGGGAATGGGAAGGAGGAAAAAGAGGACTATTCAGAGAGAAAAGATGAGACTTTAGAAAATAAATAAAATAAAATAAATAAAAACTAATACATGTCCTTATTTGTTTATTGAAATTATAGGATTAAAAAGATTAAAAAATTTGGAAACTACCATATGAAAATAGGCTCACCTGCAGAAAAACAGTGTATTCACAACAGATTTTTTTCCTCAATAAAGGGTTGATAGAGGTCAGAATATAGTAGAATAGTAGATACAGAATGCTGAATGAGAGTAGCTTTAAACCTAAATTGCTATATACAGATAATTAGGTGCAAGGGGAAAATAATGCCATTCATATAAAAATGGTATTTAATACTCTATTAAATAGGCTATTGAGGAAGAACTACAAATCATGTACAGAGGTAAGAAGACATCTGAATATAGGAAGAAAGGGGCAGGAAACAAGAAGCAATGCAGAGGCACCCCACCCCCAAAAGATAAAAGAATATAAAATATGTAAACATATTGCTAAATTGAAGTAAGTACTAACTGAAAAAACTAGCAATGACTATTAATTTTGGGGGTTGGAAACAACAAAAGAACTAAAATACTAGCAGATGAAAAGACTTCTAAGTTCTTTACCAGTTCAGAAAAATTGTAAATCACACTTGATCTTAGCCAAAAGGCCGAGAAGCAATAGAAAAATTATAAATCACAACAGTTTTCCAGCATGTGTGGAAAATAGAAACAATTTGATTATCTATTAAGGTCAAACGGGAAGTCCGAAAATAAAACAGTCTTGTTATCTTATACACTATGTTCTTGTATTAAGGTATAATAAAAGTAGAAATCAGTAACAATAAGATTAGCCCTCATGGTTTGGAAACTGAATTTCTCAGTTTATAAATAGCAATTTATGTGAAATCATGAAATATTTAGAACTTAATGGCAGTAAAAACAGAATATAGCAAAACTTCTGGGATTTAGTTAAAGTAACTAGCTCTTAGAGGAAGTTTTATGACCTTACATACATCTATTAGAAAAGAAAATGAACTAAGTATTTAAGTAAAGTAATTTTAAAAAGAAGGAAGAAAACTCACCATAGAAGGAAGTAAAAAAAATCAAATAGAACAGATACAATGGAGTGTTGTTCTGCAGTAAAGAGAATGTAGTAGTTTTCACAAATCAACAAAAACAAAGGTGATTAAAAGAAGGTATAGAAGAATTTATATACAACGCAAAAACCAAACAGTATGTTGCTTGAGGGCTTGGCTGATAAAATAGGAATGAAGAATTGAAAAATAGGTCAGGATCCTGGTTAAGGGAGAGGAGCTCAGGGAAAAAGGGAGAGGGACATGGGGAAGAGAAAGACATTGGCTGACCATACGGGGGACATTTTAGTCTCAGGCTGGGTGGTGTATAAAAAAATGATCTAGAAGATAAACTTTTCTTTTTGAAAAGAGATAAACCCTGACAGGTTTCTTTTGCAAGAAAGGGAGGCATTTGCTCACTCCTATCCAGCACTTTGGGAGGTTGAGAATCTGAGGCAAGAGGATCACTTCAGCCTAGGAGTTTGAAACTAGCCTGGATAGCATAGCAACACCCTTGTCTCTGTGAAACAAACAAACAAACAAACAAACAAACAAACAAACAAAAAACTGTCCAGGCATAGTGTATGTGCCTAAAAGTCCCAGCTATGTGGGAGGCTGAGGTGGGAGGATTGCTTGAGCCCAGGAGTTAGAGGCTACTGTGAGTGAGTGAGTGAGCTATGATCATGCCATTGCACTCCAGCCTGAGCAATGCAGTGAGACCCTACCTCTTTAAAAAAAAAAAAAAAACACCACAAATAAATAACTTAGAATAAAAAGTGAATGTAGACGTTGGTAGAGATTGTTGATAGATTGAGAAGTGTAAAGTTTAGGTAGTAGGTGCATAACTATGAATCTACTTTGAATTAGCTCTGTCCCATTTTACAAATAGTCTTTTAAAATACGTATAATCTAATATCAAGAAATAGCATATGTAGAATTTTTCCTTGTATTGATCATTCTTTTTATGTGTAAATAGTTACAAATTTGTACACTATATAGTCTCAACTTTATTTCCTGCCCACTTGGCACTTTGGTTTTGAATTGATCTAGTTCTGTCCTAGGTGGAATCAAATGTTATTTTAACTATTTCTACTGATTTTTTTTTTTGTTATTCAATTAAAAATAAATTGTTTGTAACAGGAAAGTATACTTAATGTGTTCCTACACATCTGTTCTCTGAGTAAGATGTTTACCATTTTCTGTAGGGAGCAATTGCAAGCCTAGGATTTATTTAATCCTTCTGTGGATTGTGGAAATCCAGTTAATGGTGCAATTGTAGTGACTTTCAGTGTTTTCTTCAAGTGATACCTTTTCCTTTTAGTCATATTTAGTTTTGATTCTCAAAGTAATCAGTGGGTTCCTTTAAATCATAGCCATTATCTATTTAAATTAGCAAATTCAAATATTTATAGGTCAAATATGGCATGTCTTTTTAGTAACTATTAATGTCTTAAAATATTTAAAGTTACTAAATTATTCAAACCTTAAATTTAGCCACCATGTGCCCAAGATTTTTTTGTTGTTGTTTTGTGTTGTTCTTGTGTGTGTGTTTTTTAATATTATAGGCTATCAAGCTGGAAATGATTCAGAAGCTTCAGGGCCATCCAGAAGAGGTGGAAGAGGTAGTTTCCGAGTTGGCCGTGGAGGATTTGGTCTAGGAAGTCCAAGTTAGTAGTGTATTGCAAATGATTTGCTTCATCTGTTAAGAAGGAAATGATGAAAAAACTACCAAAGAAGGTTGTTATGAGGATTATATGAGAATAGCTTAGCACGGTGGATGATACAAATTAATCACCCACATATGTAATACAGTGTTTTAGACACACATGATACTGGTTAAGCTGGAATATATGAATTTTTTTTATAAGTGTGTGACTCAGCTCTTTAATATCTATTAATAGTATTTACATGCTATTAAATGTTTTGGAGTCTTGGTAATACAGTTGACCTTATAAATAGGTGGCCTTCTATATGGCTGTAACTCCCAACATACCAACATGGTTTTCTTTTTTTTTTTTTTTTTTTTGAGACAGAGCCTCAAGCTATCCCCCTGGGCAGAGTGCCGTGGCATTACAGCTCACAGCAACCTCCAACTCCTGGGCTCAAGCGAGTCTCCTGCCTCCGCCTCCCAAGTAGCTGGGACCACAGGCGCCCGCCACAACGCCTGGCTATTTTTTGGTTGCAGCCATCATTGTTGTTTGGCGGGTCCGGGCTGGGGATTCGAACCCGCCACCTTAGGTGTACGTGGCTGGCGCCTTAGCCGGTTGAGCTATAGGCGCCGAGCCACCAACATGGTTTTCTACCCTAAATTTTCCCAGCTGTTATTCCTTGGAGCTACAGTAGTGTCTTCAGAAGTCACTGTTGGAATGTGTGTGTCTTTTAACAGAGGAGGACAAATTAGTGGTTTTGGAAGCTAAAAATACAAATTGTAATGATGATTAAATAGATGTGTGTAGATAAGTGAATTATCATAAAAGTGTAAGAATCTGAAAGGTTGCTGTGCAGGACTGGTAAGGTTTGATTTGGCAACAGCAGGGGTGCTATTCTGGAGAATAAACCATGAAGTATGCAATGTGAAGTATCTGGGGCAGTTTCTGGAGGAGGTTTTTATAACATACTTTGGCATAGCATTGGCTTTAAGTTCTTTTAAAAAGTAAATGTAATAAAATAAAAATAAATAAAATAGAAACAGAAGTAATTTTTAATTGAAGGATATAATCTGTAGAGGAGTCCTCTGTGTAATACTTAGAAAAATACTCATAATTCTTGTTAAATTGTTTTACCCCACATCTTTTAACTTCTGGCAGTATAATTAATTTTTTCTTCTTATTGAGTGGTTTTAAAAAACTTTTAAAACGTAACATCTAATTTTACTTTCTACAAATCAAGGTAGTGAATTCGACCAAGATGAGGTGACACAGCGCCCAGGTGGCCTTTTTAGTTCTAGAAGACCAGCATTAACTGGCACAGGTAAAAAATAAAACTTATTACTGCATATTACTCATTCATACATGTTTTTAGTGCTAGATTAATAAACCAAATATCCATGTGTATATAAGTATACTAGGTTGGCTCAAGATTTTTATCTGCTTTAGTCTGTAGGTAAAAGTATATGGACAGTTTTGCCTCCCTTATGAAATTTATGCACTGTGAATTATTTCTTCTGTATTATTTCCCAGTTAATTTGAGATATAAATTATTCTTTTAACTGGAGGAAGGAAATGGAGCTTGTATTGGTTTCAGAGAAGGGATTCTGAGTTAGGGGAACATGATTTGTGTAATTTCAGGTGAAAATGAAAAAAAACCAGCTAGTCTACAGTTTTTGAAATATTCAAATGAGGTTCAGTTTTATGTTAAATCTATAATTAAGAGATGGATGGGTTAAGGTACTAGGATTCCTCAGTATGGTAATTATACTGACTATAATTACCATATACTGAGTAGAAAAATAGCCATATGGTTTATGTGCTCAAGTACTCTGCAAAACAATGCCTTGTAGGTAATGGTGACACTTCTCAAGGCCGAAGTGGCAGTGGAAGTGGAAGAGGTAAGTTTTTATTTATTTTATCTATCATAAGTAAAATTTTTGTATTCCAAATTTAATATTTGAAGTTAAAGTTAAATTTTACTGCTTTTAGGCACTGTGAGGGGTATAAATTTCCACAGCCTGTTTCAGAGAGTTCTTTATGCTCTCTAGGTTTTCCTTCTCTGATCTGGCAGTTGTATTCTAGGAACTAGGAATTATATCTATAGTATGTAATTCCTAGAGTACAATTGCTAGATCAGATTGCAAATACATGTACAGGGATGTTCACTGAAGCTTGATTTATAACAAGTAAAAACGAAAACTCACCTAAAATTCATTGGTTTATGACTTTAATAAATAATATAACCATAAATGGGTATGCAGAAGTTAAAGATTGAGATATATTTATAGATATACTTACTAAAAACAATGTTTTTTCTTATCATGGTATAATTTGATTTAGCCTAAAGGATAAGGAAAGTTAAATATATTTATATTTTACTTTGTATGACTACTTACTGTCATTTAAAAGTTAAAATGCTTTCTAGACTAGTAAACCATTGTAGCAAGAGTCATTATTAGTCTGAGCACATTCAAAGTGTGCTTCAGACACTTTGCCCCCAATTCTCGGCTTCTCCAATATAGAAAAGTTTAAGACTGGCTAAACCAAATCTTCCATAAATGGTCATATCCTATATGAGGAAGAATTTCAAGACTCATGAACATAAAGGATAAGAATATTAGAGAGCTCACATCTAAAAAGTTTTATATCTAATTAGCTTTTGAATCTAATGAACCTAAAAATGGCATAGGAGATGACTATATAAAAATGAGAAAGGTGGTGTATAGGAAAGAGTTAACAGGCCTGACTATTCACCTGAAATTCATCAATAAATGGGATTGAAAATCTTGTTTACAAGGTTGGTCTTTGGCTAGAATATATTAATTAGGGTTCTCTAGAGAGACAGAACCAATAGACGATAGAAAAATTAAATGGATGGATGAGAATGGATTTATTAAGGGAATTGGCTCATGAGAAGATTATGGAGGCTGAGAAGTTCCATGGTAGGCTGTCTGTGAGGTGGAGAACCAGGGAAACCAGTAGGCCTTAGAACCAGAGAAGCCAATGGTGTATCTCTCAGACCAAGGCTGAAACTTGAGAACATGGGAGGGGGAAGGGCAAGTTCTAGAGTCTAAAGGCTCAAGAACCTGAAGTTCTGCTATCCAAGGACAGGAGAAGGTGTGCCAGCACCATAAGAGAGGTAGAAAATTTGCCTTTCCTCTGCCTTTTTTTTTTTTCCTATCTGGCCTTTGGCCAATTGCATGGTGCCTAACCCCATTGGGTGAAAGTGAATCCTTCTTATTCAGTACTCATACAGATGCCAGTCTCTACCAGAAAGACCCTCACAGACATACCTATAAATAATGCTTTAGCAGCTGTCTGGAAATCTCTTAGTTCAGCCAATTTGACATTTAAACTTAACCATCATAGCTATCATCTGAGAACTTGGATTTGGGAAGGGTTCCCACTCCCCACTCAAGATACTAATTGTGCCTAAACCATTTGTACAATGTGGTTCATGCTAAATGCTTGCTTTCCTTCTGGGAGGCTGGAATTTTGATGTATGCCAGGCAGAGAGTAAGTACATTATTACCCCCTAATAGAAACCTTGACTACTGAGTCTGTGATGAACTGAGTAGTTATCTACCTCTAGTATATAACATTTCACATGTGTTATCACAACTGATAGCTGGGTGAATTAAGCATGTCCTGTGTGAAAGACTCATGGAAGCTTACACCTGGTATTCTGAGGACTTTGCCCATGCAACTTTTCTCTTTGCTGTTTTTCTCTTTTGTTCACTGTAATAAATCATAGCTAGCAATGAATATGAGTATATTATTAGTTTGGTTTGTCTTCCTAGAAAATCATTGAACCTGTGGATGGGTCTTGAGGATCCCTTATACAGCCTTTTAGTACCTTCTAGAAAATATATTCCTTCGCTGATTAGAAAAGAGGTGTAACAGGTTAAACAAAAGTAATAATATATAATCTCATCTACATAAATCAGCATTTTGAATACTAAGGAAATTTAAAATGTACAAGATTCTATTTATCGTATTTGTCTCAAGTATTTATAAGAAGGGATTTTAAAGATGTGTATTTATTTTTAGAACTGTCCTCTTTGAAGACAAGCATTGACTGTAAAGATGTGTACAGTTTATTATCTTCTGATTGTTATTGTGACTTTCTTTAATAGGTGGTTACAAAGGTTTAAATGAAGAAGTGATAACAGGCTCTGGAAAGAGTAAGTTTTACTTTAGACAAGATATTTGACTTTTATAGTGAAAGTTCTTTTACTCCTCGATTTAAAAACATTTCTCTCTTTTTGGTTTGATCCAATTTAAGATTCTTGGAAGTCAGAAGCAGAAGGAGGAGAAAGTGGTGATACTCAAGGTATATAAACTTTTTTTGATCCATATGGAAGTATGTTGCATTTTATAAAATGCAGAATGTTTAATAACAAAGTTAACTTCTAAAAATGTGAGCAGTGGTGGCTTAGCATCCATAGCTCAGTGGTTAGGGTACTAGTCACATACACCGGGGCTGGCAGGTTCAAACCCAGCTTGGGCCTGCTAAACAACAGTGACAAATACAACAACAAAAGTAGCCAGGTGTTGTGGCCTGTGCCTTAGTCCCAGCTCCTTGGGAGGCTGAGGCAAGAGAATTGCTTAAGCCCAGGAATTTGAGGTTGCTGAGAGCGAGCTGTGATGCCACGGCACTCTACCAAGGGCAAAATAGTGAGACTCTCTCAAAAAAATTAAAAAAAATGAGCAGTGAGGAGCTCTACAGTATTTAAAATTTGATTTTGTCTGTTTTTGTCTGTCTTCTTTTATTTTTTCTTTTAGTCTATGTAATATAAACTTTTTTATTTAAAAAATTTCAAGGACCAAAAGTCACCTACATACCCCCGCCTCCACCTGAAGATGAGGATTCTATCTTTGCACATTATCAGACCGGCATAAACTTTGACAAATATGACACTATTCTTGTGGAAGTGTCAGGACATGATGCACCACCAGCAATTCTGGTCAGTGTATTACTTGCTTCTGTATTGACTATGTAGCAAATTTGGCTCAAATTATATGGTATATTTAAGTAGATACCAACACAGAAACTTCACCATTAGTATCCAATGTCAGGTTGGTTATTAGATACTAAATGTATATGTCTACCACTATAGTAAAATTTATTGCTGTGTCAGAAGAGAGAGTACTAGATTTCATCTTTACTTCCTATACTGGATGAGAACTTCATTTAAATTTTCTAGAAAAAGGTACTTTTCCTAAATTCAACTTGTTTGCTTCCTAAGTACGTGAGAAGTATGTCGTAGGAGAGTGATCATTTTCTAAGAGAGTGGAGAGCCCTCTGTCCTGTTTTGGTAATTATAATGAGCTATCACTACTGATAGAGTTTTTCGTATCTTGGTGATATAAAAATTTTTCTTTCTCATCTTAAATTTATCAGCTAGCTGGAAATAGCATCTAAAGGCTATAAGGTTAAGAGGAGTAGCTTTCTGTAGGGATAAAAGTGATGCACTATAAATTTATTTTTACATTTTAAAGGGGTAGGAAAAATGTTTTTAGAACCATTGCCTGTTGAGAATACTCCCTCATTCTGGGTGGTGCCTGTGGCTCAAAGGAGTAGGGCGCTGGTCCCATATACTGGAGATGGTGGGTTCAAAACCCAGCCCCGGCCCAAAAATAAATAAATAAATAAAGAGAATACTCCCTCATTCTATTGAGTTGTAATATACAGGCTCTGGATGTTTACTTTTGAATTGGGGCATACTGGAAAAAATAACTATAGAAAGTGGAATTAACTTGAAACTAATTCAGGTGGAATATGTTTATAAAATGATCTGCATATGATATATAGAATTTAATCACTGCTGTTTTTTTACTTTTAGACTTTTGAAGAAGCAAATCTCTGTCAGACACTGAATAACAACATTGCTAAAGCTGGTTATACTAAGCTTACTCCTGTGCAAAAATACAGTATTCCTATTATATTAGCAGGACGAGATTTAATGGCCTGTGCTCAAACAGGGTCTGGGAAGACTGTAAGTTATTTTCTCACATGTATATCCAAACTGTTAGGTTTTTCAAACTTTGGTTTTTCCTAAGTAGCTTGAATCTCTTTAGTCAGAAGGTTTATAGAAGATTTCAATGACCTGTCATAAATATTCATGTTTTTCCATGGGATTTCTAGTGTTATTGGGGCTTGTATACCTCTGAAGAAATAATTTTGAACTATTTGTAGGGTAGTGTTGTAGTCCATAGATGTTTGATCTATTTATGAGTGTGTACAGCTCTTTCTGGGACATGAAGTATTTAAAACAAAATACTGAAAGTCAAAATACCAAAGACTATAAAGCATTGAGAAAGGAAGAAAATAATTTCTGTAATATAGCTGATTCAGTCTTAGAGCCAGAAGATAAACAGCAATATGCATTGTACATGGTCCTCAGTATGAAGTGATCTCAGGTTGTGCTAATTTTAAAAGAACTCTGATGATGAGACCAGGTTGGTCGTAGGACTAATCTAAGGGATTTGTCTGATAAACAAGTGTTCTATGAGCTGAGAGTATTCCAGGGTCATAGAGTCCTAGTTCATACAATTTTTGTCTTAATCAGCCTCCATAGTGGAACTGAAGGGAAAATACGTGAGCTGTACATTATGGTAATTGATGAGAGTTAAACATGGTTTTGGAGGTGATTTGAGTCAAATTATATCTACATACCCCTCTGTAAATAAGTTAATTTTGTTGACTGGATGAAGTGGTTCATGCCTGTAATCCTAGCACTTTGGGAGGAGAAGGCAGGAGGATCACTTGAGGCCAGGAGTTTGAGACCAGCCTGTCACTAACAAAATATGAGAAAAATTAGCTGGATATGGTGGCACATACCTGTATAATTAGCTACTTGGGAGACTGAGGCAGGAGGATCACTCAAACCCAGGAATTTGAGGATATAGTGAGCTACGATCAGGCCACTATACTCCAGCCTGGGCAACAGAGCAAGACTGTGTCTTTTTTTTTTTTTTAAAGGTAATATTGTTGATCTATTTATAGCCCATGGGAATAGTTTTTTAAAAATTCTGAAAAATATTTTGATATTAATTTTATCAAACTTTTGTATTGTCTGATATGAGAATAAAACCTATATGTTAAGGACTTGTTGAAATAAGAATTTTCATTTCCTATCTTAAATTTACCAGCAATATGGGAGCAGAATCTAAAGGCTGTAATGGCAAGAGGAATAGCTTTCTGTAGGGACAAAAGTGATGCCTATAGAAGCAAGATGATAGCATACAAACGTATGCAAATTAAGCAATTTAACTTCTAGGCGGCTTTTCTCTTGCCAATTTTGGCTCATATGATGCGTGATGGAATAACTGCCAGTCGTTTTAAAGAGCTGCAGGAACCAGAGTGTATTATTGTTGCACCAACTCGAGAATTGATCAACCAGATTTATTTGGAAGCCAGAAAATTTTCTTTTGGGTAAGTATATTTTGAAAGCCACTCACAAAATAGTTTTTCTTTAGAGTCTAATTTTTTCTGTTTACTTATTTTTAGAAGAACTCAGTAAAAATGCACTCAGTAAAATGTAATTTTTAGTGCTATTGATGACTATTTTTTTATAATCTACAGTATCTTGTTGATTTTTGAAAGGAAACATGATTAATAAAAGTTAGATAATAGAGGTGGAAGATAAGAAAATAATGAACATATTGATATATTTTTGGTAGTTTTTAATGCATGTTTAAAAATGAATTTGGATACTCCTAATAATTTTCTATTCTTTCATATAAAACTTCATAATATTAAAAACTTCATAATCAGATCTAATTTTTAATGACTTATAACATTGTACATGTGTATACATTTTATTTACCTATTTTGAAGTACTTAGGTTCTTTCTAACTTGGGAATATTATAAACAAAATTGTAATGAACATCTTGGTATATAAAATTTTTGTTTTAAGTATCTCCTTAGGATAGATTTTTATCCATTTTAATTTTAAAGATCATGAACTTATTTTAAAGCTTATACTAATGTGCATTTCTGCCAGCATTATGTAAGTCCAGTTTCAATATACCCTTTGCCATAATTTGGTATTGTGTTAGTTATCTATTGCTGCCTAACAAATTATCTTAAAACCTAGTTGCTGAAAACAAGCATTTACTGTCTCAGAGTTCCTGGGAGTTAGGAATTAGAAACAGTTTGGCTGGGTGCTTGTTGCTTGAAATCTGTTATGAAATAACAGACAAGTCTTCTGAAGGTTTGATCGGATCTCCTTATAAGGAAGCTTGATTATCTTTAGGAAATAGCAGTTGGCTTCCCTGAGGATGAGTGATCAATAAGAAAGAGCAAGGAGAAGGATGCAATAACTTCTATGAAATAGTCTCAGAAGTCACATGGTATCATTCTGCCGCATTCTGTGTGTAAGAAACAAGTCATTAGCTCTTTTCCACACTCAGGACTAGCTTGCATAATTTATCAGAACTGTTGAAAAAATGAAAGTGCAGGACCCTTTGTTCTGAAATTATTGTACGTTTCCAGACAGCAATAGCAGAGCATTAAACCAAACCCAGGGTTCTCCTAATTTGAGACCCTGTGTGATCATATAGGTCACACACTCATGAAGCCAGTCATGCCCACACTAAAGGGGAAGGAAGTCATGATCCATATTTGAAGGGAGAAATATTGAAGAATTTGTTTATATATTTTAAAACCACCACAGATGTATTTATTTTTTCTATTACTATGAGGTTGAATCATTTTTTGAATGCTTAATATATGTTTCTTTGTGTATTATTCATTTGTTATCCACCATTTTATCTATTGGAAACTTAGTTTTTTTTTATAATTTTTTAGAGATTTCTATATAGAAACTGTTAGCTAATTTTGTATAATTCAGTTTATTTTAAATAGAAAAAAGTGAAGTGATTGTGTCAAATTTAATGGCTCTTTTTGGAAAAAGATGTGAATTGCTTATATCAGTGTTTGTTTTTAGGCTTGTAAATTAAGTAAAAGAAGACCACGAGTTTTTCTTTCTTAAAAACAAAAACATAATGCCTGGTAAATTCAGATAATGTGTGTGTAAAGAGATGGATGTTTGTACATGGATATTTGTTATAACATTGTTAAAAGACTGAGAAATAGCTAAATATTTATCATTAGAAGGCTTGTTACATATGGTACATATAGAAGAATATTAGCATATGCTAAGTTATAAATTTTTATATTTGACTCAGTCTTCACAATAGCAGAAAATAAGCCATCTAAAATATGAAATCTTCCTATGCTGTAATTGATTCTCCTCTTCAGTTACCCACTATTAGCAGTTTTGTATGAATCATTGCAGAAATAGTCATTGCACATGTATGCACTTCATCTTCCTCTTGACAAATGTGGGCATATTTAGCTGTTAGCACTTGAACTGTTTAAATGGGCAGTGTTGGAGAAAATGTTTAATCTAGAACTGTAGCCTTTTCTTTTTATCAATGCACGGTATTCTTTCATATGGGTATGCTATAATTTAAGGCTCTACTGATAGACACTTCAGTGCTTTCTGTCTTTTGATATGAAAAATAATGGTGACAGGGCTTGTGGTTCAAAGGAGTAGGGCGCCGGCCCCATATGCCAGAGATGGTGGGTTCAAACCAGCTCCAGCCAAAAATAATGATGACAATGCATATGTTTAGTATGTTCATCTCTATTATACATTCATCATCTGTGGAAATGCATCTGAACAGTAAATTTCTAGATTTACTGATTCTGAATTTAGGGGAACAAAAGGGTAAGTTTTAAATTTTAAGAGATAAAAAATCTGAGTGGTTCTGTCAGTTTACTCTCTACTGTGGCTAACATGATATTATCACTCTAGAAGGAAATGCTGTCTTAGTCTTCCTTTTTAAAGTAATGTTGAAGGGGTGAAGGGTTTTTTTTCCTTTTTGGTGTTTTAAAGCTATTTATGTATTTTATGAACCACCATTCATGTCAACATTTGGCTTGTTTTTTGTTTGTGAGGGTATATTTGGGGAGGAGGGTCGTGGTGTTCCTCATTGTTTTTTTTAGTCATTTTATATAAATTTTTTTTAAACTTTCAGAATATTAGGGTTTGTTTAAATGTTAAAATTTGCTTTTGTGCAGATTGAGTCAAAGTTATACATGAAAGTGTACCTTTCCCCTGCATAGTACCCCTTAGGTGTGAATTTACCCACCCCCTACCTTGATTTTCACTGAGATTTACTTCCATGTTTACATTTAAGTGTTGATTGATGAGTTTAAATTTGGTATTGAGTACATGTGTTTGTTTCTTCATTCTTATGATGGTTCACTTAGAAGAATCCTTTCCAGTTTCCTTCCGGTTGTCCAGAAAGATATTCTTTGTTAGAATAGATCACAACTATGGCCCAAGATAAAGGAGGGAGGAGGGGGACATGGGAGGAGGAGGATCAAGGGAGAGTGAATGGTGAGATCACACCTATGGTGCATAATGCAAGGGTATATGTCAGATCTATTAGTATAGAGTATAAATGTCTTGACACATTTAATCGAGATGAGGTATATATTAACCAGTGTGATGTAAGCATTCCTAATTCTATATGAAATCAGCACATTGTACACCATAAATGCATTAATGTATACATGATCTGTGTGTTTATGATTTAGTTAAAAAAATAAATAAAAGATATTCTTCATTGTTTTTGAAAAGCCTTTTATCATACAGGTTACAAAATAATTTTTCCCAGTTTGACATTAGTTTTTTAAGATTATCTTTTCCGCTTTTTCCTGGGTGGAATTTATTTTTTTTAGGCTAATTGAATGTATTTTTTCATTTATGGATTTTTGCTTTATATGTTGTTAGAAACAGATGTTTAATTTTTAAGTAACTAGACCATGCCATTTATTTTTCTTACTATTAGGACATGTGTAAGAGCTGTTGTTATATATGGGGGAACCCAGTTGGGGCATTCAATTCGACAAATAGTACAAGGCTGTAATGTATTATGTGCTACTCCTGGAAGACTGATGGACATCATAGGTAAAGAGAAGGTAGGTTCTAGTGGGATGACAAAGTTGTGAGATTGATAAATTTTTTGTATGGGAAAGGGAAAGAATGGAGTTAAAGATATATATACTAGGGTGGCACCAGTGGCTGAAAGGAGTGGGGCACTGGCCCCATATGCCAGAGGTGGTGGGGTCAAACCCAGCCCTGGCCAAAAACTGCAAAAAAAAAAAAATAAATAAATAAAATAAAATACACACACACACACTAGAGTACATTTGTTAGGCTTGAGCAGATTCTTTGGATGTATTCTTTTATAATTCTTAAGATAATCTCAACAGGAAATAAATAGTATTTTCCATTTTATTCTTGAAACGAACTCAGTGAAATGTATAATTAATTTAAAATCCCTCAGTCAGGCCAGGTGCTGTGGTTCACGCCTATAATCCTAGCATTCTGGGTGGCAGAGGAGGGTGGATCACTTGAGCTCAGGAGCTTGAGACCTAGAATAAGACCCTGAGCCTAGAATAAGACCCCTGTCTCTACTAAAAATAGAAAAACTAGCTGGGTATTGTGGCAGGTGCCTGTAGTCCCAGCTGTTCTGGAGGCTGAGGCAAGATAATCACTTGAATGCAAGAGTTTGAGGTTGCTGTGAGCTATGACTCCAAAGCTGTCAATCCCAGGCCAACTGAATGAGGCTGTTTCAAATAAATAAATGAATAAATAAAACCTCTCAGTCATTTCTAGTGAGGGATATGTGGGCATTATTTCAGAATCCTGAAATATTTCATATCCTGTACTTCACTATACTGAGAAAAATGCAGTGAATGCTTTTATATAATTTCATTTATAGGGTAACCATAAAGTTCATGTGTGATTTAAATAGTTGTATGGCCACCCTGTGTATCAGGGGTCCTCAAACTTTTTAAACGGGGCCAGTTCACTGTCCCTCAGACTGTTGGAGGGCCAGACTGCGAGCCCTGGGATGAGTCGGCTGCTAAGTAGGACAGACAACAGCAGCAAAAACACCCAGTGGGCCAGATAAATGTCCTAGGTGGGCTGCATGTGGCCCAGGGACGTAGTTTGAGGACGCCTGCTGTATATTTTAGTGAAAGTTTTTCTCTTGGAAGGAAACCTTTGTGGCATTAATAATTTTGTCTTTTGTTTAAGCATGCGAATATTAACCAGTATTGTTTATTTTCTAAGTCTTTAAAAAGATTTTAGAGCTATGTATTAATTTAGGAGTTCACATAGCAGATTTTTATAGCCCTAAATCAGTACTTTTAAGTTTATTTTAATGAATCTGATTTGCTTTTTAAAGTTCTGGTCTAAAGAGTTACTCAAAATAAGATTTTTTCCTGCATAAAGGCATCTTAGGATACTTATTAAAAGTATCTTTTATTAAAAGATTAGAAGAGAAATGTACCTTACTTTTTTGCTAAACACCTGCATAGTGATATCAGAGTCACTTGTTTTTTTGTAAATATATTTCTCTATTATAGCAATAACTATTGCTCATGCAAAGATGAGAAAAGCTTTCCAGTTGTTCCTGATTGGAGAACAGAGAATTATTACAGATTTAAAAGGGTTATAAAAACTTTACCAATTATGAGACATCTGAATATGTCATGCTGCTGTTAGGACACTTTATTTTTTACATTTAAGCATGAGTGTCCAACCCATGGCCTGTGGGCCTCATGTGGCCCAGTTTGGCTATAAATGCAGCCCAGTGCAAAGTCATAAACTTACTTAAAACATTATGAGATTTTTTTAATGCTTTTTCATGGAACTTGATTGAATGGCTCTCCAATGTGAACTTTGTAGATGATACTATCATGCCGCAATGTCATATGAAATATGTTTGTTCTCACTACTTGTACACATGTGTGGCTTCAGTTTTATGCGGTGTGTGGCTTTCAACATGTTATCTTACAAGCACAGACAGCTGAATTGACACTATTAGATGTTGGTGAGGCAGCAATTATCAATAATATTTCAACCTTCCATTGCAAGATTAGGTGTTTAATTTTATTTAGAAGTCAGGAAAGCATTTTTATTTGATTACTATTATTATTACTATTTGATTATTGGTACTTCTCACCTCAGTGGTGCCTCACATCACCTACTCTGCTTTACAGTTGACATTCTGCCTTGTCCTCCATTGGCAGCAAGATATGGGAGGGCCCAAACCTTGCTTTCTGTTTTCCTATCAATTTTCATAATAAGAGTAAATATAGTCCCCTTATCTATTATTATTTTTTAATCCCAACATGGCTTTTACAATGTTTCAAAAGAAAACAGAACTCCCCAAAAAGAAAAATTACAGATGAAGGAAGATTGTTCAGTCAAAAGTGGACAGATGACTATTTTTTTGATGAGGCAAATAATAAGGCCCTTTGCTTAATTTGAAGGCAATTTATGTTTATACAGACTTAAATTTGAAAAGGCATTGTATCCTCATTAGTATAGTGGTGAGCAAAAAAAAAAGGCATATGCAAAAACATGATACCAAATTCAGTGCATATGAAGGATGTGTCAAAAGGACAAAATAGGCTCGGCACCTATAGCTCAACCGGCTAAGGCGGCAGCCATGTACACCTAAGGTGGCGGGTTCGAATCCCCAGCCCGGACCCACCAAACAACAATGATGGCTGCAACCAAAAAATAGCCGGGCGTTGTGGCGGGCGCCTGTGGTCCCAGCTACTTGGGAGGCGGAG